AGACAGGAGTACTATAGACGAAAAGAAGGGAAAGGTAAGACCCTCGAAAATAAAGAAGGTAGTATATATATATATATATATACTAAATGGTAACTTATCCAGTCACAGTCTCATGAGAGAGTGAAGGATAGCAACAGGTGGATGACGGTGCCACAACAAGGAAGAAACCGCCTCCCAAAGCAGAGAATGGGAGATGGACGTATGAAGAGCAGTCCTAGTGCTCGACAGTCGAAGTACCTCCAAAGGACAACAGGATTAACATAAAGAGAAAAGTGCATTGATGCCGGGTAGAAGGATAGAAAGAATAAAAGGCCAATAAAATAAAAATCCAAACCCTATGGGTAAGGGAGGAAGCGAAAAAAATCACACAAAAAGAAGTGGAGTAAGAGAAGGAAACCATGGAAATGGATTCCACAGAAAGAAGCCATAAAAACAATGAAGCAACCCACAAAATGTCTTGGACAGATAAGGTTATCTGGATCTGACTGAGAAAAAATGTGGAAGATGTTAAGAAACGAAAAAGTCAACAAGAATATACTACATGAGCCACGAAAATGTAGGTTGATAAAATCCTCAACAAAGAAAACAAATTGAGCTGAAACGGCTGAGAAAACAAAATCTGTGCCAGACAGGAAAGATCAATCAGAAATACCTGAACCAGAGTAACATGGATGAAAAACATTTTAGGAAGAAGACTGATGGAATGAAAAAATAATAATAATGTTATAACCTGGGTGTTATCAGAATGTATCGAAAGCCAGGGAAAGTGGATGATAAAGTAGAGACCAAAACAAACAAACCACCCGGGAATTAATAAAGGATTCAAAAATGTCACGTGGAGAGGTATCCCACAGGAGGCAGAGCCACCAACAATTTTGGAGGATTTAGAGGTCACTCTTTGGGAGAAAGTGTGGCAAAACTAGAAAATCAATCAGCAATGAGGGCAAAAGCACCTGGAACACGACTATCCAGGAGACATATGTCAAGTGTGTGGATTCAAAAAGGGAGATTCACTGTCTACCACAAAGAGAACAAGAATGAGTGTTCCCTTGGTGAGTGATATAAGCCACCACCATCATAGAGTCAAAATGAAACAAGAATAGTCAAATCCAGAACAAGTGGAAGAGAGTAAATGAAAGCACATTGGACTGGTGGAAGTGCCAGGGTGTGACAGCAATAAAACACTTTGCCTGTAGACCATTGTCCTGAAGCCTCCTACTGATCAAACCACATCCCCCACCTCTGGAGATGAGCATCAGTGATAAGAAATAATCCATAAGAGGGGAAGGAAATGGTAAACCTGATGGTGTAGGGAATATGATCAACTATCAATGCATATAGATAAAGAGGGAAGGATGAAAATTAAGAGGAAAATCAAATGAATGGCTCAGATAACAGAAAATGCTATCAAATGCATTAGAGGATGAGAATGGATGGTCCTGATGGAGATGTGTTTAAAAATATGGAATCAAAACAAGTCTAAAAGGCAAGGCACAAAACTGGGATGAAAGCACCTGGTGAAAGAAAATCTAAGACCTGGGAATGTAAATTAAGAACATGGGCATTACCAGTCGTACAGAAATAGCCTACCCAAGTGTGATCAAAGACTGCACAATAAAATGGGGAAGACCCAAGAAGTGACTGAGGCAGGACCAATTGATCCAGAACCCCAAATAGCATCAAGCATACAAGACAAATGGAGAAAACCCGTAGGAAGGACAGGAAGTAGCAGGACATGTAAAAGAATAAAGATGACAATATCTCAGAATGAAACAAAGAAGCAACAAAAAAATTTTCAAATAGCATAGCAGATACCCCACATGATGCTAAATGTACAGGAGGAGCCCCAAAAAAATGGACCAGTGGAGAAAAAGATCTGACTTTAAGTCCCTATTAGCAGTGGATAGTAAACAAACAGCAGTGTTCCACCCAAAAATATCCCAAAAGTAAAAAGGCCACATGTGGAGACAAAGAACTGAATATAGCAAATGCCCCAACATGGAGGGAAGAAGGAGGAGATATCCAGAGAAAATCCCTAAATATAGTTGAAACACCTAACAAAGGAAGTGGAAGGTAAACATAACCTGTAAGAGAGTAGATAGAGTAATACGAACCTGAAAAACTAGGTAGGGGAGAAAATGGATAGGATTAACAGAGATCCGAAGAATATAAAATCAAGAAGAAATCTACCTGATGGTAAGCTAAGGCAAAAATAATTAAAGTTTGTATAGAGTGAGGCTTGTAAATACCCACTCTCAAAAGAGAGACACAAAGAACATATGAAACAATGTCAGAAGGGGAATATACTGTTATGACAGTGGAAGTCGCATGATGCTGGGAGCATGCGCTGGAGTTCTAGAAAGATCGAGGAACCTGTCAAACGTCCTAGCAGTTGCTAGACGTGCGCTCTTATTGTATATAAGCGTGGCAAATAAAGTGAGAAAATTAATCGGAACTGGAGTAGCAGATAGAGAGATTAAAGATAATAAACACAGTTAATCAAGTCAAGTGGGCGGTAATGACCATAAGTAAAGTGCATGAATCATTGTGAATTATAGTGTGTGTTTAACTTAAAGTGACTGTGAAAATTAAGTGTACTGCAAAGTTGAATTGAGAAAGAATAAACTAGTTTTATTTAAGAAAGAACTTGTATAGCTGAAGTTTCTCGGAAAGAATTTCTACAGAAAATTAACAAACGAACACAGACGTAACAATACTATGAAACGTGTCTAAAACAAAAAACTGAGATAGGTCTAGCAGATTCTGCAGTAGAGGCCTGGAATGCAATCCATGATAAGGTGGGTGAAAACAGACAAAATCTATAACATCAGAAATGGGTTCAGCTATTATAGGAGCCAGGTGAGCAATACTAGAAGCAGGGAGGGTGAATGCCAGCCCCCAGGGGTTCACACAAACAAAATTAAGAGTAAGAAGTATAAATTATAAATTAAACAAAACTAATGGTAAGAAACTGTGTAGTGAAATAAATATATGTAATAAATGTTATGTATTGAAGAAAATAAAATAGTTAACCTAACTATCAATTAACCCGGAAGTATAACCACAGGTAAACTGAACTTAACAGACACTCGTTAAGCCTAAGCTAACAAGATATTTAACTTAATTAGCCATTAACATGCATGTAGAACTACAGGTAAACTGAAAATAACATACATGTTTCATCAAAAATTGCAGGACAAAGGATATCACTAAGCTCGAAAATAAAATTTTTAACCAAACAATAAGTATTGGGAGAAGTCAGTGCGGACCCCGGCTCAATGGTTCCACACAAACCAAGTTAAAAATGAAGAAGTGTAAAAGATAAATAATAACAAAAATGAAATAAACATTAATTTATAAAATGAAATAAATGTGTATTAACAATAACCTACATAGGAGATGTGATGTATGGAAGAAAAACAATATAGTTAAACAAAGTAAAATGAATTACAGGTAATCCTAAAATAACAAACACCCTAATATCAGTGGTATAGGAGAAAAGATACAACTAAACCTAACTTCTAACCTGAACTGGACTATGAGTATCAGCCAATCTAACGAAACTTATATTGTAGAACTCCAATAACTACAGATAATAATATTTAAAATCAAATTATTCAAAAACTATAACAGTATAACGTCTCATCTTTCCAAAGTTAGTAGACTCTATGTCAAAATATGTAGGCCCCCAAACTCAAGGCAAGGCCTGATGAAGGTCAAATCATTGGATGATCATTCTCCTGATGAAGTACAGCCAAAAATCTTCTTACAAAGTACTGCTACCTGAAGCCTGTGTAAATGTGCTGATAGAACATACAACCTCTGAAGTGGTAACATAGAATTCATATAGCAAAATGAACAACCAAACACAACTGTGTTTGCAGAAATAAATAAAACGTATTTGTAATGAAGCAATAAGTTCCATAACTGGGTAGAAATAAAAATAATTCCACTTTGGAATAAAACAACAAGTTACAAATATCACTATTGTATAATATAGAATGAACTTATTCATAGAAATTAATACAAATATATGGAAAAAATTAAAATTAAACTTGAAGAGAGCATAAACTAAATTTTACAACATGAGTACTGCCAAACAAAGTGAATAGAGGGAGTCAGCTGTGTGAAGAAAGTATGTTGCACTCTTACTGGTGAAGTGCTGTCGCATGATGATTTAAATGCGAGACTCACTGGAATCAGTGAATTAGCTTGGACACCAAGGTTACTAAGTAAAAAATAATTTCTACAATCAAGACATTTGTTTCATAAGAAAGACTTTTCTATAAGGGCTATACATTTGTGGAATGACCTGCTTGATTTTCTGGAGCGTGTTCTAATTTTGAAGTTGCTTATATCTTTTGATGGATAGGTATATTAATGAAACAGACAACACTGAGCATGGGTTGATTTTTTTTTCTGGATAGAAGGATAAATTCTATGGATTAAATAGACTTCTGAAACTTTTTTCTAAACAGTTTTTTTATGTCAAAACAGGTGCTCTTAAAAATAACTGTTGAAGCTTCCAAGTGTTCACAAAGAAGTAGCCTCAAAAACAAATGTTCTTTACCATAGTATAAAATCTCTCACATCTTAATTCTTTACACTGAATATTTTAACAGAAAAATTAACATTTTAATGCTAAAGAATGATTAAAAAATTTTCATTTGCTGAATTGTTTCCCCATTATTTATTTTTATTGTGGTATACAACAAAATAGCTAACTAAAATTAGCAATGTATTTTTGGAAGACTTTTTCTAATTTATTTCAGAATACCAGCAGTGGTTTATAGAATAAAATTGTTACTTCTGAAAAAACTAGTATTAAATAAAATAACTATATTTATAACTTTACCAAATAATTTCTTTGTATATCTTTCATTCTAAAAAACTCTTATTATTGTTAAAAATTGAAGTTATAGGATACAAAGTATTTCAAACAGTTTTAATATTGAAAATTGTAGACTTACAGTGACATAAATGTTAAGAAACATGAGTACCTGTATAAGGCAAGTAGTTCTTTTGCCTTATATAATTGTTCTTCACTTGCTAAAACATGACGAGGATCTGTTATGCTGAAGAAATACTTTAACCTGCCAATGAAATTTGTTTGGTCCCAACAAGGTGCATCTACATTTAACCTCATAACAGTTTCATCCATTCTCCTCTTTCAAAATTACAACCAGCAATCAACTGAAATGAAACAAGCTCAGTGTTCATTATATAAAAATACAACAAATATATATTTAAAAATGAATACTTCTGTTTAACAGAGATACTTACTACTTATATAATACAGTTTGTAATCACTCTCTAAAAAAAAAGAAAAAGGAGAGATTAATAATAAATGCTTAGTATACTCAAGTAAAGCCATCAAAAGACTGACTGACTGACTTTCTTTAAAATCAGTGTGAACAAAGCATGATTAAACAAATGTAACAACATAATTAAAAAATTGGGAATTTAAAAGTCTGCAAATAGGGATTTTAAAAAAGTAAGGAAACAAGGCTGGAGATACTGTAGAAATTATTTTCTAAAACTACAAAGCCCTATTTTGGTTCATGCTGTTACCTAAAATTACATTTGGTGGAGTCAAAATAAGGATTTGTAGTTTGAAACCAAAGAAATTAAACAATGGTGGGGTGTTAAAAGTAGAAAAACTTAATTTCAAAGCAATTAACACAAACACAAAAATTGTAAGTATGACTCAAGCCATTATTGTGATTAATTAGTAAACATTTATGTTTTGAAAATTTCTTATTAGCTGATTGTCCCATTACTTTTTCACAAATAAAAATATCCAAAATAACATGTTGCTGTAATCATGTGTTCTCCTCTATGGTTGTTTATTTTCAAGACAATTATTACAAATTTTTGAGCAAATAAAATAATTAGTCTAAAATCAATCCAGAAAGTATATAATATGATTTGATTATACCCTAAACACAGGGTATCAAGAGATATTTTGGGTATGTCCATTTGGAGTTTCTAATAAAATTAGTTTTTTTAAGCACATTCTCTCCTTTATGCATATACCTAGTGCTGATACTCAAATTATACCATTTTGTAATATCATTATACACAACAGCCAAGACATCTGTTGTTATCAATAACTGAAAGGGTAAGAGTAAATTGCATTCTTCAATAAAAATCACTAAACATGAAATTGAGAGAACTCCTTTATGTGTTCTCCTTTACTTCAATTTTTGCATAATGATTTTCCTGCCATATTTGGATTCCACCACGTGCAGATGATTAGGGTTGGGCAGATTTGAAATGTATCAGTCACAAATCAACTCATTTTCATGCAAGAAAAGTCCTTGAAAGTGGGATTACATAACAGGTGTGTATCTCTTTAACTATATAACTAACATTCCAATGGTGTGAGTTGTGGTAGTTTTAGGTTTAAATGACTGATAAATTACAAAGCTAAATCTGTGAATGATAATTAGGTGTCTATTTACAGAAACAAATAATTGGGGAGATGGTTAGATGCATGTAAAGAAGTTCACAGAATGGGTAAAGAAGATCACCATTTTAATTCAACTCCTTATATATGCTTGCATTTCTAAGTACAATGCCACATTATAATAAAAGCTTATGTTTATGATATGTGGAAGTAGTCTAATACAAAATAACTATTCTTATTAGCCTGCTATAGCTGAATTTACTGTAGAAATGTAAAGGAGATCACATTAATTTCTACACCTGTCTTTGCTAATATACAGAGGTGTTATGCATAGTGATGGATTTCTTATTTGTATTTGTAGAATGGATGGTAAACAAAGTCGGCAGCTGAAATATTATCACAGAAAAAAAAAGGCAGCAGAAGGGAAAACCTTCTTACAATTTGTTTGCTTTTTGGCTTTTTATTCTAGATACAATATAATCTGGTAAAGGAGAACACATGTGAAATACAGTAGCCATCTTCATCAAGGTGGAAAAATATGACAGAATGTAGCTCGAGTGCTAGATTCTTGGCACGAGATTTTTCAGTAGTTATATTTTCAAGAACTGTATAAATCATACTTATAGGAGAAGATTTCGTTTTTAACATTTTCCAGTTGAAAAACGGACACTTAAGAAAGCATGGCCCATAAATGCATAGCTTCTTTAGACTCCTTAATATTAAAACTCATTTTCCATGTTCAATCCTATTCATAAAAATGGTCAAGTACTGCTTTCTTGATAGAATAAACTCTTCCCAACCTTTGAGTGAAAATAAAAATATTACTTTCTAAGAACCTAACTATATCACTGACATAAATAATGAACAATACAGATCACAAAGCAAATCTGATGAGTTAGATTCTCCCAAAGACAGAAGTGACCTTTTATTGCAACTCATTGGTTCCTACTACCATAAGCAATTGCAGTTAAACACTAAAATATAGCAGGCAAATTTCAGTTTAGAGTACTTAGACTGTGAAATCCAACATCACCTGTTATATTTCTGTTACTTTTAGTATTTGACTACACAAGCCTGCACATCAAGCTAATTTTCTATTCATTTCTTCACCAATTCAATAACTATCAAACTTACTAATCATATATTGTAAGGCACTTACCAAAGACTTTCTCTAACACACACACACATTTAAAATCATAGCATAAAACATAAGAATTAATAAGTAATTTTTAATAATTATAATCCAAGTAATACTTACAGCTGAAAGGAAACCATTACCAATTAAGTTACTCTTACATTCCACAATAAGTGAAATGATGGCATTAGAATGCAGAATGTCAAATATTCTATTAATGTTTTTGCTTTTTAGAGCATTTACAAAAACAAATATTTAAGGAAAATTAAGTAAGTAGGTATTTCCTGGCAGCCTGGTATCAATTGAGGCTTTCATGTAGATGCTCAAATAGGTTTATTCCCATTTAGTCTACCCTAATGTAACCAAATACCAAAATAAACATTTTATATTTTTTCTGTAAACTTGGTATGCCACTATATTGTAAATGAAAAAACTTTAAAGCAGTATTATAATTTCTTGAGAAAAAGATAGGTTTTTATGTGATACATTTGTATTGTATGTACATACAAAATATGAATGTTTTAAGAGTATATTGCATCATATTGTAAACAGTATAAGTACAAAAATACTTTGTTTCTAAAACTTTGCCAAAGTGATTTTTTTATCTAAACTTTATTCTGTATTTGACAAAATGTTGATTGTATTTTTTTAGGTTTGCACCCATTTCCTCTTGTCCCATTTAGTCTATTGCCTAAGGAAATAGACGAACTGGAATGTTACCCTCAAATAATCCAAACACCAGATCAGCTAGCTCAGTCAGTAAACTAAACATGAGACTCTCAATCTCTTTTAGTTGTTGAATAAAGCAGATGTGAAATAATCTTTAGTCAATCTTTCTCCCATTATCTAGCTTGTAAAGATAGGGATATATGATTTATTCTTCTATTAATGAGTTTCTCTCTTTTCACACTGTTATCACCATGGCCAATAGAAATTTTCATTTTGTGCAAGACTCAAGTTATGTGCCAACTCAATGGCAGGTCTAAACCAACTTGAAATAAACTTATTTTTAATATTTAATTCTTATTTAGTAACATAACATCAATCACTACTCATCAAAAATATTTAATTTCACCTGCAAATAGCCAAACTCAAAATTGATATACAGCCACCAAGCAAATAGCCAAATGGCCATTTAGTAGCTATTTAATGTTTGAATAGCCTAGGGCCTGAAATTAAACTACTTCCATCCATATCATTTGCATTATTCACCTGTGTTGATGTTCACACAAACTTAAACTAACAAATTTGTGCACTAATTTCTTTAAACCTCCATGGGTTACACAATACAACTTCATTTACCAACAGGACTCAAACTAATTTAGAATTAACATGATAAACTGTGTCAAACTAAATGTAATTTATTTTCTTGGGTAATTTTGTTTCACATTTCCAATAAAATATTTTTCAATTCTAAACGTGATATTACACAGTACCCTTTTTAAAAATTCCAATTAACACACGTCTCACCCTAAACCAAACTTTCACAACTTTACAAGTAAAGACCTTGACTAAATAGCGCCACACGCCCATTATTAATACTAATAATAATGAAAAATAATAAAAATACATTGAACGGAAAATAAAGAACGTAGAAATATATTTCATAATGTAATATGAAAAATAAAATGAGAGAAAGAAAAGCAAAATATGAGAAAAATATTTCATCAACTTACTGAGTGAGTAAGATTAGAAGGTTTTGCTTTATATATATATATATATATCTGACATTTTACCTGAAAACATAAATATTACTTGCAGGTGGAATGATTTTTTTGTGACATTTAATTTGTAACATGATTTATAAATGTCCCCGAACAATCAATAGTGCAATCAGCGGGTTCGATTTGTTTGTTTGTAGTTAAGCGCAAAGCTACAGAAAGGGCTATCTGTGCTCTTCTCACCACATGTATCTTGTCGTGATATAAAAGACTGTTTGGTTTAAATATTAGTGATTAATTTATATTTGTGAATGAATATTTTATTATTTTTAAGTTTTGTTATGATAAGAGTTAAAAGCAGACGATTGTAGAAGGTTTTGTTAATAAAATTGGTGACGAGAATATAGAAAGTGGCCAGACGACTATGTAATAAAAATATAAATAGCGTGAGACGAGCGGGAAGTTGTACTAGTAATAGTAGACAAACAGATAAAAGCAAAGTTGATGTGAAGTTAAGTAACGTAAAAGTGATAGGCCTAACATTTGAAAAATATATTAGATAGAAAATAACACTAACAGTGGAAAAAGAAATAAGAAAAATAAGTTTATTGTGTCAAAGCAAAATTCTAAAGTAAGTGAATCAGCCTGTGTGCACTTTGACTAAAGGAACATAGGATTTCAGAAGGAAGAACACCACAATCGTAAGTGAATCACACCAGACTATTATTACGATAGTATTAGAGAAAATAGTTCAGGTTGTCAACTGAGGTTCTACAGTAATTGAACAGGCCTAAGTGGATTTTTGACAAGAAAAGGAAAATTATACATACACTGAAATAACATCAACGATATGCTTATATTCTCTATAGTGTGAACGATTTATTGTACATATGGTAACTTGTTCCAAATATATATATTAGTTGAAAGCAAGTAAAGTGTGTGCTGTTTATTCTTAGTTGGATTTATCGCTAACAAGTCACACTCATAGACACCTACTGTAGAGCTCACTGGAAGAATCCTAAGCCCAACAACTACATAGTATATATTTATACTATTAGGAAATATAAGTAAAAGCCATTTATTTCGACAACTGCCCCTAAAAAAAACATATACATGTATAATATTTTTTTTGATCTGACATATGGAAACCCAGTTTCTAACGTTGTAAGTCCGCAGACATACCGCTGTGGCACTGGGGGCCAGCGGGTTCGAATCCCTGTCACCAAACATGCTCACCTTTTCAGCTAAAGAGACGTTGAAATGATCAATTAATCCAATTATTTGTTGGGAAACGAGTAGTCCAAGTGTTGGTGGTGAATGGTGTTAACGAGCTGCCTTTCCTCTTGTCTATTACTACTAAGTTAGTAATAGTCCTGGAGTGGCTTTGCGTGTAAAATTAAAAACTCTGTATTAAACCACTATGATCAATGTTGCTTCAGGCCTCTATATCCTGAGGATCGCCTAAGTGAGACCGATAAAAGATACATCTTGTGGTGTACTGTGTATCTCCATGGCCTCTGTTAGACTGATGGAGACTATTCCATGTTGGACTTCTTACGGATCCACCAGGGGATAAGGCAGGACTATGTAAAGATATACACCAAGGGGAGAGAAAAGGCACAGTTGTTGCAAAGACAACTAAGTATTCCATGCCAAGACGTAGAAGAGTACAAGTGCCCACCATATAGATGTTTAGACTGCAGTGAACAGATAATATGTGATTATCACCATTACCCCCATGAACATTGCACGTATTGGAAATTTTGTGCTCTGTATGGATGGATAGCCACCAGCAATTGAGATGGGTTTCAGAACTTTAGAAACTATTTTTAGAGTGATTAAAAACTTGTTATTTTGTTGTAATAACCTAATGTTACCCTATACCTTGTTATATGTAGTGGTTATAAATTGTTAGTTATGCTTAATAGGATAAAGTTTTATGTGTTTTATATATATAATCCTTTATGTATAATTGTATTATGTATTATTAGCCAGCTGGTGAACGCCTTTTCTACAGATTCTTATCTAAATAATTACGTTAATCTATTATTATTATACCTAAGGTTAGATCATCTATATACATAGCTCTAGGCCCCTAGATCTATATAATGTATATATTGTAAGCATTGGCTGATAAAGAGAGATGGAGATAATGAGTTGGATGATAAATTTTGTTACAGTAACAAAATTTTTCTAAGGAGGGAGGAATGAAGCAACTTGAAAATTTTTGAGGAAATTTTACAATTGTTTCAGGATTTTGTTAGTTGAAAATACATAGAATAAAACTTAAAGGTTTTTTAGTATAAGAATATATAAAAAAGAGAGGTGACAAGAAGACGCCTGTGTTACCAAATAAGCTTGTGAGATGAGCTTGAGAATTAGTAAACAAGATCAAGGGCCTAGTTATGTAAGGGGTGTTGCCTAGAAACAAGCAACAAGACAAGTGTATTATGAAATAAGCTTGTGAAATGAGGTCAAAGCATAGTTATGTAAGAAACATTGCCTAAAGACAAGATGAATGCACTAGTATTTATGAGAAGTTGATGGATTACTGACCTCAACCCCTTAGAACTAAGAAAGATACAGAAAAGTTTGGTTTGGTGAATCATATCGGCACTTTGAGGTGATATTAGTTACAGTACATGGGTGTAGCAGTACAAATGAATAGGCAGCCAGCTAACACCACTTATCTATAACCAATTACTTGAGAGTTATGGTTATGGTTTATCCCGGGAATTCCCCTAAAGTATCCAATAGGAGCACAGGACTACTTGTGGGTGATGGTGTGTCCTATTTAGTAGGTTGAAATAATACTAAGAAAAGTTAGTTTAAAAAACCCATGTCAGAGACTGAAAAGTTAGTCTTCAATTCTCCAGTTAAGTTCTCCAGGACTGAAGAAAAGTTCTTCCAGAGATTAAGAAGTTCTGAAGAAATGTAGGTACCGAATGTGGCTAAGACCTCTAACAACCCAACTCTACTATAAGTAAAATCTCTCTCTCTTAATCAGTTAGTGTAGAGTCATAGAAGATAGTAAATGTATCTAGATAAAAGTGTTTACTATGATATATAAGTAGTAACTCAATAGAACTAATGTTTAAAGTGTGTAATGTTTTGGAGAAGTTGTTAAATGTTAAATAAATGTTATTTTAAGTGTTCACCATTAGCCTGAGACTCAGTTTCTTTATTCTAACTATAAATTTCCTCAAGTTAGCGACTTGTGGCTCCACTCATCACGACAAATCCTCCGATAAATAAATTTGGTGTAACAAGTAGTTTTAGTTGAAACTCCAACAATTAAGCCCACCAGGGTGCTGCTCAATACAATACTAGCCTAAGTATAAGATGCACTAGCAAGAGCACATTCTTTATTAAAGTTTTTGTTGCTCTTACTAGTCACACACCCTTTTCAGGCACACATAAAAACACACAATCACTTGTTTTATTTTGTATGAAGGTACATTGTTGTTTACATTATAAGTTTACATTATATTTGCTGCTTGTGTAACTCTATGCCCTGTGGAGTTAATTGTAGACCAACCATCACAGCCATCTAAAAATGTACCCGCATATGAGATGCGTGAAGCCCCTTGTTTTTGTAAGCCTGGGCTTCTATGCAGTGGTGGGATTCAGCCGGTTCGCA